TGCGCCGGCTGTAGCGGCCCTTTGGGGGGTGAACCAACGGAAGGAAGACCTTTCTCTCTGCTTCTCTCTCTCTCACTGTAACTCTGCCTGTCCAAAAAAATAATAATAATAAAACCTAGCTCTCCCAGTTTCCCCATGGATCCAGGTTTTCAGACTGATTTAAAAAAACACGAGGTGCCAAGCATTTGCCTAATGGTTAAGATAGTGTTTGGGATACTTGCATTTCATGCCAGAGTGCCTGGGTCCAAGTCCCAGCCCTGCTCTTGATTCCATCTTCCTGCTTGCACACCCGGGGGGCAGCAGGTGATGTCGCGTGTACTTGGGTCCCTGCCACCCACGGTGGGAGACCCGGATTGACTTCCTGGGCTTCTGGCTTCAGTCTGGCCCAGCTCCAGCTGTGGCAGGCATTTAGAGAATGAACCAAATAATGAGAAATCTCTCTTTCTCTGTGTCTCTGCTGCTCAAATAAGTGAAAGAAGTTTTGAAAAAAATTAGGGGATTTTTCTTCTAAACAGGGAGACCATTTCATAAACTGAGTTCAAATGCACAAATATATAACTCTGGACATCCCCTCGCACTCCCTGTGCACACTGAACCAATTGGGTGTGCACATGTGCCCATGCCAAATCATTTTCTTTTCTTTTTTTTTTTTTTTTTTTTTTTTTTGACAGGCAGAGTGGACAGTGAGAGAGAGAGACAGAGAGAAAGGTCTTCCTTTGCCGTTGGTTCACCCTCCAATGGCCGCCGCGGCCGGCGCGCTGTGGCCGGCGCACCGCGCTGATCCGATGGCAGGAGCCAGGAGCCAGGTACTTTTCCTGGTCTCCCATGGGGTGCAGGGCCCAAGCACGTGGGCCATCCTCCACTGCACTCCCTGGCCACAGCAGAGAGCTGGCCTGGAAGAGGGGCAACCGGGACAGAATCCGGCACCCCAACCGGGACTAGAACCCGGTGTGCCGGCGCCGCTAGGCGGAGGATTAGCCTAGTGAGCCGCGGCGCCGGCCCATGCCAAATCATTTTCACTCACTTCTCCATATACACTCACTCACCATTGGCACACACAGTACACTGTCACATGCACACACTCCCTCACACAGGTACATGTTCACACTCCATAACATACTCAAGCTAAACACAAACACACAAACACACTCTGTCCTGCTTGCTGCACACACTTACATGCTCACTGACATCTCCACGTGGTTACTCACCTGTACACACAACTCATTCATGGGGTCACATCCACACAAGTCCGGTTTTGGCGATACTCACACTCTGTGTACAATGGTTGTGTCTTCTCTCAACAAGTACAGACTCTTATAATTGTTCCCTAAACAAGACACTCTAAGAACTATTTACTTAGGATTTGCACTATATTAAGTATCATAAGTAACTTAGAGGTTATTTAAAGTATGAGCCAGTTTAAATTTTTAATTTAGTAACATTAAGTACAGGGTAGCTTGTGTACAGAATACATGTGAATACTACACCATATTATAAAAGGGATTTGTGCAGATTTTGCTCTCTGTGCAGGGTAGGAGACTGTGGAGCCACTTCTACATGGATACCAAAGGATAACTACATTTCCAGACGTTTTCTGTGACCATGTCTATGAACTGAGCCAGCGTCTCCCAATCCATCTGCTTACCTGTCCACCAGTGCTGAGCCCCATGGAGGCAGCCTTAGCCCTCCCAACCCCTCAGCCTGCAGAATCTACATGTGCCTGATACGGGCACGTGCACACACACACATAAAGGTGGCCCAGCAGGGTGAACCAACTGATGGGCTAGTCTAGGCTAACCCGGCCATTGCCTCTGATGATCCCGATCTCACGTTGAACATCCAGAGGTTTGAAAATAGCATCTGAGGAATATGAGTGGCATATCCTACCTTTGTCCAAATTAATCCCTCTGAGAAAACTCCTAATGCCAGGGCATCTAGGTAACCGAGCTGCGCTTCCCCCACCCCCTTCCCTCCCTTCCTCTTTCTGTCTTTCATGGCTTAGTATCTGAGAAGGTTGCACTCATGTCCTGACCATTGTCACAGAGACCAGCTCTGGATTCATCAATGACATGAAACAAGCCAGACCCCAGAGCTTCCTTATGCTTGGTGTCAGGGCTTCACCTCCCAGTGTAGCAGAGAAGCCAGTTCACAGCCAGTTCTCCATCCTGAGAGCCCCCTCACTTACCAGTTGCTGGAACAGAGTGTCTGTGATCTGGGGGCACAGGGCACTGCTGCTACTTCACCTGCTCCCTGGGGAGGGGGTCACAGCCCTTCCGCACAGAGGCAGTTCCTGCTGAGATGGTTCAAAACTTCATTCCAGGTAAACATGGAAAGATGGAAGCGAGGGATGGGGATTGTGCTAGGAAGAGCAGAAAATGACCTGAAGCAGAGTGAAGGATATGGGCCAGACTGCGAGGCATAAGAGGCTTGGCGTACTCACCCTCCCCTCCCGGTATATGAAAGTCCTCCCCTAGCCGTGCCCCCACCCTGGGAGAGGGCGATCATGTGAGGGCAGTTTTCAGTTTCTGTTCCTGGAAGTGAGTCTTTTCCCCGAACAGCAGAAGCAGAAATGCTTTCGCTTTCTCCTGCCTGAAGGTGCCAAAATACTAAAAATCCAGAAAGTGGAGCAGCTCTGACCTTGGCCCAGATGGGAGGAGAGGCCCCTTGGGATTCCTGCTGCCTGTGCAGAAGCACTGCCCCAGGGCCTACCTGACAAGGGGCCCCTGGCTGCCTCCTCACCCTACGTCCATGTCCTTGTGTGTTGGCACTGAGTCCTGTGTGACTGTCAACATTCTACTCCCAGTGAGGCCTGGGCTGCAGGTGAGTTGAGACACATTGAAAGTTGTCCCCTTGGCTGCCTTGCCTCTGCCCAGGTCTAACATTTACACCCAGCACAACCCCCTTTCAAGTTCCTCCCTGGTCTGTTGTGGGTACTGGGCACAGGGTGCTCAATTGTCCTGTCCTCCTAACTCTGTGGACCGTGCACATTGCTTCAAGTCCCCGTGACCTCCTCCCCACCAACAAATACCTGCCTAGCCCACTGTCTTGCTCCTGACCACTGACCACAGCACTTTCCACATCTGGGTCTGTACTGGATGACAGACTCAGAAACCACAGGCACCACAGCTGTGCTGTTTGCTCAGCATCATCACATCGTGGATGTGTCCTGGTGGGGCCACATGCTCTGAGTATAGTGAACCCAAATCACTAGGGCAATACATTTAGGGGTGGAGCCTTTGGAGACTGAATGAGTCATGCAGGCTTGTTCCTATGAGTGGTATAAGAGGCCTCATGGAAGGCTGGGGAGCCCTGTGCACCTCTGCCTGTGAGGGCACACCCAGGCTCCATCCATGCAGCAGAGCAGTCCTCGGCAGATGCTGCATCTCCTGGAGTTGATCTTGGACTTGCCCGTCTGCACAACTGTGAGCAGTAAGTTTCTCTTGTTTTTAGTTACCCAGAGAAATTTTTTTAAGATTTCTTTATTTATTTATTTGGAAGGCAGAGTTACAGAGAGGCAGTGAGAGAGAGGTCTTTCATCCTCTAGTTTACCCCCCAGATGGCCGTGACAGCCAGAGATGGGACAATCTGAAGCCAAGAACAGGAGCTTCTTCTGGGTCTCCCATCAGGTGCAGGGGCCCAAACACTTAGGCCATTGTCTACTGCTTTCTAAAGCTATGGCAGAGAGGTGGATAGGAAGTGAGCATCCAGGACTTGAACAGGCGCCCATGTGGGATTCCAGCACTGCAGGCAGTGGCTTTACTCGCTGTGCCACAGTTCCAGAGGAAGTTTCTCACAGTAGCAATCCAAGCTCTAAGACAGCCGGCAACATAGAGAAAGTCAAGGTTTAGTCTCAAGCATTCAGGACTTGCTGTGTGACCCTGGACAGCAGATAAACCTCAGTGATTCTCCTACCCTCCGTCTTAAACTTGGGACACTGGGCAAAGCCCTCCAGGGTGTGTGAAGTCAGGGAGGGGCTTCCCAGAGCAAGGTGCTGTGAGACCTGCGCAGAATGACAGCGTGTGCTTGTGTGCTTGTGGAGGTCAGCAGAGCTGAGACAGTGATGAAAACCACACAAGCAGCCAAGAGATGGAGAAATCGGCGTTGTATCTGTTGACTTCTGGCCCGGGTCAGAAACAGATCAGGCTCTGATTAGGAAACAGGACAGCACGGAGCATTTTAAATAGTGTGGAGAAAACAACAGGGAAAATAAAGGAAAAGAAAAATTTAGTGTGGGGCTGTGCTGTCACGAAGGCCCACAGTGCACAGGACAGAGGTCCCAGGGCCAGACCTGGTAAGTGCAACAGGACTGGGGCTGCCCACCTCTTGCAGGGACCTAGGAGGCTGTAAAAGGCCCTGGTCTGGGGGCTTTTCCAGTCCCAAAGGGGATGTGGGAGGGAGCCCCTGGGCCCCCCACACCAGACCCTGGGCAGCAGAATGGCCTTTCCACCCCAGAGGCCAGTGAGGCCACACGGCAGCTGTGCTACATAAATGAGACTTTTCCTGCCACCCCCAGCTGCCTCTCCTCTCGCCTGCCACCACCCTCTCCCACCCACGCCCCTGTAAGGGTCCCAGAGAGCAGAGGACATGGAGGAAGAAGAGGCCAGAGGCCACTCTTCCCTTGTCCCTGCTGCGGACTGCTCCCTCAGGGGAGGGTCTGTGGAGAATGCAGTCTGAGGAGGGTCTGAGGCTTGTTGCTCAGGACTTCCTGTCACCTGGGCATGAGCAGGAGGGAGGATGTTCCCTGAGCGTGGCCAGAGAACTGAGGAACCTGGTCCTGTGCGAGCCAGCCGTTGGGGAGCAGCGATGTGGGGCAGGCGGGGAGAAGGCACGCAAGCTGCTGTCAGTGTTTCCAGGGCAGATTCGGCTAAGCCCTCCACTCCCTCTCACCGCAGGCTCCTCAGGGAAAAGGAGGTGAGTGGGGGGAGGGGGAGGCTGAGCAGCCCGCAGGCTGGCAGGGCTGGGGTCGGGGCATGACCCCCGTGGTGAATTGGGCAGGGGAAGATGCACTCTCACTGGCACTTCAGTGACCCCAGAATCCTGTCCACCACCCCCAAACAGCTGTGCTTCCTACAGACCTGGGCACATCAGTGATCTGTGCACAGGAACCCTCCCGGGCTGAGAGCCAGGCCGGCCAGCTTGGCTTCCTGCCCTGCGTGCACGCCCTGCCCTGCATTTCCACATGGAACCTGAGCTGCAGTTAGAGCCCTTCACTTTCGTGTTCCCGGAAAGAGCCGCTGTGTGGGGAAGAGGAGAACACAGGTCTGCTTTAGCTGTCCTTGTCTTGTTCATGAATAGCTCCCCCTGCCTCCCCCCACCCCTCGTAGCCTCCAGCGCCCTCACACCCTTTCACAGCCAAACGGGGCCTTTCTCCTCCATACACTCAGAACGGAGGGGACCAATCAGGTGTGAAGCTCCCTTCCCCGCCAGTCAGATTGGAGACATCATCTCTGTGTCAGGACTCAGTGGATTTATTTGAAAGGCAAAGTAGCAGAGGGGCAGAGGCAGAGGGAGAGATCCTCCACCCACTGGGTCACCCCACCCCCCAAATGGCCACACAGCCAGACCTCAGTTTAGGATAACTTGGGGGCTGTGGGACACCACTACGGACACCTCTAATCTGCCCTTTGATGTCTAGATCCCATGCAGGTTTCTCTCTGATGAGAATCCCCAGTCTCTTGCCGTCACTGGGCCCCACTCAGCTGGAGCAAGGCAGCTCACGGTTTCATGAGCCCTTCTCCCCTTCGTGTCAGCAGTCAACAGTTGCCACAGCAGAAGCAGCATCCACCCATCAGAGTGATGCTCCTGCAAAGACTGCAGGGCAGAGGCCAGAGCTGCACAAGGCCACATGGGAAGGCAGCACATTGCTGAGCAGTGTGACATAGGGACAACTGGTGCCCTACCTATGGCCAGACCATGACCAGGACTACTCAGGCACAGGGAGGGGGGCATCTGTCTGGTGGAAGAGGAGTCTCTGGGCAGAGCTCTGAGGTCCTGGGCTCTCCTTCCCTTTGTGTCTGAGAGTCACCCTTAAAATGAGGCTTGGTTTCACTGGGGATGTGTGAAGGAGGAGGAGGAGGGACAATGCAGAGGTGGGTACGTGAGAATGCCTGAGGGCTTTCCTGATTCACAGTCTATGATGACTGCCCAGTTCCAGAGGTTGGCCACTCAGGGACGCAGGATGCAGTGTTCCTTGTGCAGCTCCAGCACCGGACCGGCCCGCCCAGGAGCACAAGGGCCACTCTCTGTGCATCTAGCTCTCAGCAGGAGGAAGAGGAGGAAGAGGGGATGACCAGAGACAAGGGTTGCTCCCCATCCAGTGCGTGGCGGCTGTGCCTCCATCCAGCTGCTCGGTCATTGTCCCTTTTGCACTTTTCACCGAAGCCTGTTACTGATGTTGCCTGTACATCCATGGCAATACGCAAATATTTCTCCCACAGAGACGCCCAAGCACAGATCCACAGAACTCCCTGCCATTGAGCTCAGAAGCCTGTGGCACACAGCAGGGAGCACACTCGGGAAGGGGGCTCTATGCTCTGGGTAGATCCTGGCATCACAGAGCTGCCTCTGCTGGGGTTTGCCATTACCCAGCTTCTTAAGGAAGAGATGGAAAGCAAGACTGAGAAACAGACAGACTCAGGGTGACACAGAGATAGACAGAGAGAGGCTGTGCCCTGGCCAGCCACTTCTACTGAGCCCTGTGTCCTCCCAGCAGTCTTTGTGCTTTAGAGCTGTCTTCAAGCCCAAGGAGCCCATTTGCCCAGGGTGACTTGCAGCCCGGAGCATAGAGGCGGTGGTATCTCGGTGAGTGCCCTCAGCAGTGTGAGCAGGGAGCTGCACCCGTGCTGCTCGCCTTCTCCCAGCTGTACAACTGGGGGAATCGGGCATGGCAACATGATCACAACTTGTCTAAGGCAGGATAGATGGCTGGAACTGGCAGCTTGTTCTGCACCCTGCTTCTGTGGAGCCCAAACCCTGTTCCCCTCTAGGGGAAACACCTTCAGTAGAGTCAGGAGGTGAGGCCAGAGCGTGCCTCACACAGCTGTGGCTTGCAGAGGATCAGAACACGCACAGCTCTTCTGAGCACACACCAATTGTGCCTGTTTACTCCTGAGCTGTGGACTGAGGCCCTCCGGGGTGGATCACTTACCCTACTGGCCCACCGCCCTTGGTCTCTCCTGCAAGCAAAGGTAAGTTAGTGCCTCTGCCAAGCAGACTTCCACGCAGCTTTCTTTGGAATTAGTTTTATCTGTGAGCACTCTGGACTTGAGGCTCCCATAGCATGACACAGACAGGTAGAAAACACAGAGATAAGGCTGTGTGTGGCAGGCAGAGATAGTACTGTGTCTCCGTTATGTCTTTTGTTCCTTGAACTAATACAAAAAACTCTCATCCAGGACCTTAACCAGGGTAAGGTTGGAAAGGCCATACCCTTGTCTTAAAAAGGAGTAGATGATGACGTTTTTGACTTCAGGCAGCCCACAGTTCACATGGAGTACTCCATCTCGCCCAGTACACATGCTGACACAGGCTGACCTCAGTAGGCTTTTTAAGTGACTCACCTTAATCTCACATTCCTAGAATGAGATGACTTGCCATTGTATCGTGAAAAACACTGTCTACAGCTTTGGAAGACAGGTGAAGTGCGTAGGGGAGACTTGCTTCATGGTTCTTCTAATACAACATATAATATGCCGACTGGCAGGGTGCACTAACTAAATGCAAACTAAGCTCCACAGGTGCTGGAGGTGTGTCCCGGGGTGGGGGGTTCACCCACTGTCCACTGAGCCTCCCGTCAGTTTACTGTTTCTTCTTCACCCCTGAGCTTTTTTTCCTTTTTCCTGGGTAGCAGATCTCTCGGCCATGAGGTCACTGAGACGTCGCTGAGTTCCTGCCGCTCTCAAAAGAGCCAGGACCCCTCACTTTTCTCCAGACAGCTGAGTAGAGGCCAGGCACAGCCCTGAGCCTAAACAAATGACCTCCATGGGCATGGGCTTCTGTGGCCATGCAGTGGCAAACGGGACCACCGCCAGTGTTGGTCTTTGTATTGGGGGATCTCTTGGCACTGCCCAACAGTGTTTGCCCAGGAGAGCGTCCTGTAGAAGGACTTCAGGTCACGGGGACAGGGTTATTAGTGACTCGGTTTTCTTCCTCACAGGCCATGATGATCAGTGGAATCAGTGGGACGAGGACTCCATTTCCCTCTGGCTCTCCATCCCCAGAGGGTTGCCTGCCAGAGACATCTTCACCAAGCTCTGCTCTATGGACACAAATGACGTAGTTGGGAGACTGTCTCCATGACCTCATTCAACTGCAGATGAGCCCCAGTGCCTCCTGGAGTTCCTGAGGAGCCCAGGTGACAGCACAGGTGTGCACGCTCCTGCAAGCTATGGGTTCTTGAATACCAGCTCCCCGTCCTTCTCGCTGTCTTCTCACTGTATTGCCCCCTCCCACCCTTTCACACTCATTTGTCCTGCTCTCCTTCCTGTCCATAATGATAGCAGCAAGGTCTGATGGGGCTCAGTCTACAGCTGTCAGGAAACAGTGGCTGCAGGCAGGGACTGTCCAAGGTGACACTGCAGTTGGTGTTTGCCCAGGTCCTGGCTCTGTGTGACCCTTGGTTCAGGTTGCATTTGCAGAGTCAGGGAGTGGGAAGAAATGAAGTGTCCAGGACCATAAAAGACATCACAGCCTTGAAGCTACGTTGCTTCTCTGTTCTCTCCTCTCTTTCCAAGCAATAGATTTCAGGCACTTCATTTATTATCTCAGGATACTTTTTCTTTGCTCAAAACTGACGGGTTTTCTGGTAATATGGTGCTAATATTAGTTGAGTTTCACTTTCTTGTTCTTTGAAAAGGAGTAGATTCAGGAAAGGGGGCGCCTCCATTTTCTCTGTGATTGCTCGTCATCACACTGGGGGTGGGGACAACAGAGTCAGGTGTCAGTCCTGCCCAGCTGCCTTATACCAGCTGCTTGCAGGGCCTTGGCACGAGTAGCTTCCAGGAGAAGAGCCTGGACCACAGCAGAGGACGACTCCTGAACCTTGAACTCCTGCGAGCCAGCGACTCGACACAGGACTTCCTGGTAAGTCAGCAGCAGCATTCAGAGCTGATTTCTGTCCTCAGAGATGGCTCCGCCCCAAGAAGCTGATGGGCAACAAAACATTGTGGGATGAGGAGAGATCATGGGCTGAGGGCCCTGGGCTGCTCAGTGGGAAGCCTGGGAGCCTGATGGCAGGGAGGCAGGATTGCTTCATCGCAGTCTGGGTCATCTTTCAAGGTAAGATAGCTTAAAGCTAGTGCTTCGGACGTTACATCCTTGTCAAAATGCACCCAATCATTTGCCTTCCTCTAATGCTTCCCCCTGGAAGAGTTAAAGGTAAGTGCATCAGAGTGTGTGTTGAGGGACATCAGTAGATAATGTATGAGGTTGGCTCTGTCTCAATCCTATGCTGTTTGCAAGTCATGGTGTCTTACCTCTTCCCCTCCCAGTCAGCCTTGTTCATTCTGCACATCCTGGGGGAAGCTGCCTTGGGGTGAAGGATCACACTCTGCATGTCAGTGGTGCTCTAACTGAACAGTCATTTCTAGATCTGGGGATCTTTTGGTTGTAATTTTTGTGTTACTGTAAAGCAGGAATGCTGATCATCCTCTCCCAGAATTGTGGAGAAAATAAAGCATGCTGAGATCCTTTGATTAAACAATACTCTGCTTCAGACTTGGATCTTGCTGTAGCAGTGATATCTCAAATCTAGGACCATGCTGTGCTGTCAGGTGCCTGCCAGAGACATGACTGCATCGCACGCTCGTGCCCAGAGGACCAGGTCTCCCAGTCTAGGCATTAGTGAGATTTCAGGCCTGACAATCTGTTGGTGTTAGGGGAGAGGAGGAAGGGAGGTCCTATGCTGTGCATTACAGGAGATTGAGCAGCACCCCTGGGCTCTGCCCAAGAGACACCAGTAGCATCTCACCTCCCAGTTACAACAACCAGAAGTGTCTCCAGTGATTGCCAACTATCTGCAGGGGGACAAAATTACCCTGATTGAGAACCTGTGCTGGAGCCATATGCGTGTCCTCAGAGTGACTGTGTTCAGCCCTTGATTCCGTGTCTGGGTGACCCGGTCCCTTTCCTTACATGTGAGATAACCCCAACGATATTTTGGGGCCTTCGTTCAGTGTCTCAAGACATGGTTTAACAGTGAGCCTAGGCCACTGCACACCTTGTACTCCCCATGGCAGTACCTTTTTTCTTTGTTGTGCACATCTTTCGTGAGTGTCTGATCACTGGGTTTTGGCCTAATTCAGGAGTAATGTACTTGAGATTTCACTGGAGTTATTGATAAAACTACAGATCCCACCAGCCAAAAATCCATTAAGGTGATTCATTAAAGCTGAAAGGGCTCTGTGTTTAATCTATCTGCTTTTGTCTCCTGTTTTGTTGTTTTTCCTGTAGCAAGCATTCAGCTTTGGTTGTGGCCAGGAGGGTGGCAGCCCTCCCTGTGGCTTGCAGGGACCCAGTGTCTGCAGTCAGGTGGAACAGAACTCGGCAGCTCTGTACATTGGCCCTTCAGATAATACAGGGGAGAGGGCTGCCTGTGTGGGGAGTCTCTATCGCTGTGTTGGCAATAGATGACTCTGAGGAAAGCCCCCGGTTTCTACCAGGATGTCCTTTGACCCTGGACAGAATCCCAGCATCTAGGCTGTGTAAATGGATTAAGGCTTCAATGCCCCATGGACCTGTTAGAGCCAGAAAACTGGCACAGCTGTTCACAAGAGCATTTAAGTGGCTCCCCCGATTTGCTCTTGCATTTGTTCCCTAACTAGTGAATTATCACTTTCTTACATGTGTTGGTGATGGAGCAGTGAACAAGACAAAGACCAGTTCTGTCTCTCTGACACTCAAGGGTATTGTGGGAGGCTGACAGCAAACACACATAAAAATATCATGAAGTGTGGTGCCAAGTCCATAGGGAAAAGGAGGACAGAGAAGAGGAGGGTGAGTGCTGGGGAAGGGTACAACTGGACATCTCAGAGATGAAATAAAAATTTAAAGAAAGCTGGACATAATTTCAACAGAGAAGATTGATGGAATAAATAGTCACGTAGTTATCATGAAGAACAGTCAAGGAATTGGAGCGGTAAGTAAGTGCAAAAGTCCTGAGGTAAGAGCGTGGCCCAGGAACAGGAGGGAGGCTGCAGTTCAGAAAGCAAGAGGGGCACACGCCCTCCCCTTGGCCCTGTTCTGCTAGTGAGATGCCAGGTGCAGCTCTGGCCACCTCTGGAGGGAGGGAATTGAACAGTCCAGCAAACTGGGAAGCAGGGATGGTTGGAGCCCACCTCAGAAGACTGTCTAGTGCAGTGAGCTATTGGCATTTTTTCCTTCCTGCTTGTTCATTTTATCCTTTGGAGGCATCCTCTCACTTTCACTGATCATCTCCTCAGCTGATGGACATGCTCATGTCTGCCATTCTGTGCTGCCAGAGCCAGTGCACTGATTCCTAGTCTCCTGGGGTAAGTGAGAGTAACCATGCAGGATGTGCCTACTTGGATACCAATGAACAAATATTCCTGATTTTATGTTTTCTTTCTTTCTTATAATATTGTGTTTTTCTTTATTCTTATAATTTTTTCTGAGAAGAAGCGAGAGAGCCTTTCCAGTGGATCACTTTCCAACAGCCAGGACCAGGCTGGGCTGAGGTCAGTAACTAGGAGCTCAATCCAGATCTCCCACGTGTGTTTCAGGGACCAAAGTACTTGAACCCATTGCCTGCTGCCTCCAAGGGTGCATCTTAACGGAGAGCTGGAGTTGGTAGCCAGAGTGGGTACTCACACCCAGGCATTCTGAGGTGAGAGACCGGCATCCTAATTGGCATCCTAACTGCTATGCCAAACAACCAACCTTAACCATTTCTTTCCTCAACCTACAGATTTTCCACTTTTTTCTTTTTAAAGTAGGCACATTATTCTTACCTTTTATATTGCTGGTTTTTTATACTATAATTGATGAGCTGAAACTGCTTATATTTATTGAAATTAATTTTGTATTAAGGCTTATTTTTGGCATCTTCTTTGCTGCTTTCTAATTGTTGAGGCTTAGCTTATGACATCATTGTTCCTTTCCCTTCAATAGTTAAACTGAGTATCTTCCAAGTTATATCTCTGATTTATGTAAACACCTCCTCATAAGCGTGTGAAAAATATTGACAACTTGGACACCAATTTTCAGCTCATCTGGATTTATAATCCACTGGTGCATATCAGTAGGATTCTAGGTCAAAATCATTGTTCCTCTTGGAAACTGCATTCCAAATTTTTATTTACTAAATAAAATTTTTATTTTTTTTAATTGATTTATTTATTTGAAAGGTAGAGTTACAGAGAGGCAGAAAGTCCTATATCCTGTGTAGTTAGAATCAGAGTGTCAGGGCAGCGCCGCGGCTCACTAGGCTAATCCTCTGCCTTGCGGTGCCAGCACACCGGGTTCTAGTCCCTGTCAGGGCGCCGGATTCTGTCCCGGTTGCCCCTCTTCCAGACCAGCTCTTCGCTGTGTCCAGGGAGTGCAGTGGAGGATGGCCCAAGTGCTTGGGCCCTGCACCCCATGGGAGACCAGGAGAAGTACCTGGCTCCTGCCATCGGATCAGCGCAGTACGCCGGCCGCGACGGCCATTGGAGAGTGAACCAACGGCAAAAGGAAGACCTTTCTCTCTGTCTCTCTCTCTCACTGTCCACTCTGTCTGTAAAAAAAAAAAAATCAGAGTGTCAGTGGACGAAAGAGCATTCTCAGCTCTTGGCGTTTCCACGTGTCCAAGCACATGTTCACAAAGGTTTGCAGAAATCAAAATGCTTCCTCATTTGAGGTATTACCTGTTTAAAACCTGAAACCCTACAAGTGCTATAAATTCATGGGGCTTTGTGTCATGGTCTTGAATGATCAGCACCTGTGTTTGGCATCTGATCTGTCATTCTTTCTTAGAACAATTTTTACCACAGTCACTATCAACTCTGCCTCACTTAGTGGGGCTTAGAAACTCCAGTTCAGGTGCTGGCATTGTGGTGCATACGTTGCCATGTGAGCATCGGTTCAAGTCCTAGGTGCTCCACCTAAGATCCAGCTCCCCTGCTGATTTGCTAGGGAGAATCAGAATGAGGCCCAAGTGCTTAAGCCTCTGACAGCCACTGGGAGACCCAGATGAGGTTCCAGACTCCTGCCTCCAGTCTGGCCCAGCCCTCCCAATGTAGATATTTAGGGAGTCAACCAGAGGATGGAAGATCCCTCTCTGTCGCTCTAATTCTGCCTTTCAAATAAATCTTAATTTAAAAAAAACTGTCAGTTCAAAACTCTACTTTCCCCCTTTCCTGGATCCCACTCTCCTTCTCCCAGCTATCGGCTCCAAGGACGTACAGGGAAGCAAACTGGAAGAATAACCCTAGAGAGAGCCATCGTACAGAAGTTTCTGCTGTTAGGTGATTCTCAGTGTCTCTCCCACACAAGGCATTTCAATGATCCTTCTCCAGTCTCCTAAGACAGCAGAGAGAACCTTGGCTCTCACTGTGCAGAGTGAGTTCTGGATCCACGCAGTAAACTCCTGGGAGTGAGCACCTCCTCACGACCGGCTTTGTAAGATTGACTCTAAGTTGAAATGCCATGCAGCCCTGGATGACCATGCTGCCTTCTAAACCCAACAAACTGAGGCTTTAGGTCATCAAGACAGGGAGTTCTGATCTTCATTTCCTGAAAAGAATCATCAAAGAGCACCTGCCTCCTCCTTGTCCTGCTTCCTCTCACTGCATTCAGGAGGTCTGAGCAGATCCAAATGGCACAGGGCCCAGACTGGCTTCATTCAACAAGTGTGCAGGTGTGCCAACAGGGTGAGTGCCTAACCTGTCAAAGAGGGTGACAGGCCAGGCAAACAGCTCACAAGAAAGGGGCTCAGTTTGAGGGCTTGTGTTGCCATCACCAGGCTAGGACGTGTGACCCAGGCAAAATACCTCAGCACAATGTTCGTTCACATTTAAAATGTAATAGGTAGAATTTTTCTTAAGGAAAAATATCTAAAGAAGGATCACCAGTTTACGGAACAAACTATGAACACTGCACTACAGACCAGGAGGAAATTCATTGATTTTTCTCCATTCTCACCCTTTCAGCCTGTTCTACTAAGGGTTCTGCACCCACCTCTGAATGTTGTCTTGGGACACAATTGCTTTTCTGTTTACATTTGTGCATTTCATTAATCTTATGTGAAAGCTAACACAAGCAGAATCTGATACACATAAATAAATTGATGCGTAGCCATGTTAAGTGGTTTCTCTCTGATGATCCCAGCCCGGAGCCAGGCTGAGGGGGCTGCAGTGGGGAAGGAGTGTGTGTTTGGACGTTTTGTTCTCCCTTCACAATGATCTTCACTCCCCCACCAGACCCAGACATGCTTCTTGTTTGTTCACAGGTCTTCAGTGTTGGAGCTCTGCACAGATGCCTCCTTTGTCTGGTTTCCAAAATCTGTGTCTTTGATGATTTATTCATAAAGACAAACCCGTTGAGAATTCTTACAGTGCCCTGTTGTCAAAACTGGTGGCTGGCTTACAGCTGGTCCCAGTGGTTCCCCACTGTCCTTTTCTGGGACTGGGGTCTTCTTTAGCAGGAAGTCTTCTCAGGCAGAGCTGGTTGCGCCAGTTCCATTTCAGACACATGGCATGATGTTCAGTCTGGCACACGTATGGCACTATGCAGTTATTTCCTGTGAAACTCTGAACAGATCGTCTCTACAAGTCTTTTGTTTTTTTCTGGCCTGTGAGCTAGGAACTATAAAGAAGGCTTCAGTGTTAAGTTCAGTCACACAAATGGGACAGAGCTCTCCCTTCTGGTAGACAGCCCTCATCCATTTACAAGTGTTTCTCACTTGATCTTGGCCGAAAGGCCGAGAAGCGATTACATGTGGTTCTCATGGAGCTCCCTGGACTTACGCAAGTGGAGCTCACCATTCTTACCCTGTCTGTGGAGAAGGGTGGGAAAGCTCTTAGTCTTCCCTGCTAAACCACCTGCTGCTCTCAGACTCTGCTTATCTATCCACACAGCTAGTCTTCAGCCCCCTGCCACTAACAGGCACTGGAGATGGGCCACACCCACATTCTCAGGGGCAAGCTGACCACATCTTATTTATTCCTGTGTTGAGGACTCCGGCAGCCCACTGTACAATGTAATTGTCTCCCATTAGCCCAGCTCATGAGCAACAGGAAGAGGCCCACGTCACAGGCTAGGACATAATCAGATACATGTGTGGGTAAAGGACATGGAGGCAGCATTTGCAGCCACACGTAGTCGCATCCTTTCTTTCTGGTGCATTGTGCACCCTTGCAGCGGCTCACTGAGGAAAAAGTGAATCATGTGTCCTGGTTCAGGGAGGATTCGTTGCTGAATGCTCTAGGGAAGAGGCTTCAATGAAAAGGCAATTTCAGAAAGGTTGGCCAGGTTACATGAATAAACAGGGCTTGTGAGGCACCCGGAAGGAAGGAAGTGTGAAAAGCCTTTTCCAACCCTAGGGTAGAAAGAAGAGAGAGGGAAAGAAATGCTTTCCTAAAGCCCCATGAAGATTGGCACAGTTGACAGAGCCATGGGCAGGGCTGGGATCGGCGATGGCCGAAGCTCCCATCAGCAACACAGCCCTGGCAGGAGGCGACAGAGGGGCAATGTCCTCACCTCTCTCGCTTCTCCTCTGCACACGGCTGCTGGTGCCTCCGATGGCTGCATTGTGAGTGCTGGAAGCCGTGGGATCTCTGCTGATGTTTGTATATGGCTGTCCACCAAGGACACAGAGTGAAATGGGAAGGATAGGGTAGATCTGGAGAGAGACAATGTGAATAAATCCCTAGGGTTGTTCCTTACACTCCTCACCTGCACTGCTACCTGTGCAAAAGTGATCCTCAGGGCAGACAATGTGGCTCCCCAGGTTCAGCTGCAGCTTGGACACCTGCATCCCAGCCCCACCTCTGCTTCCAATCCAGCTGCCTGCTAATGATCCTGGGAGGCAGCAGGTGATGGTCTAGATACTTGAGTTCCTGCCACCCACCTGGGAGACCTAGATGGAGTTCATGGCTCCTGGCTTTGGCCTTGACCGTCTATGGTTTTGTAGGCATTTTTCTTTTCTAAAGATTTATTTAATTTAAGGCAGAGTTATAAGGGGTGGGGTGGATAGTGATCTTCATTTGCTGGCTCACTTCCCAAAAGACCATGTCATCTGGGGGTGTGCTGGACTAAAGCCAGGAGCCAGGAGCTTCATCCAGTTTTCTCAAGTGGATACAGGGGCCCAAGGACTTGGACCATCTTCTGCTGCTTTCCCAGGTGCATTAACAGGGAGCTGGATGGGAGGTGGAGCAGCCAGGGCACGAATCAGTGTCTGTATGGGAAGCTGGGCGTTGCAGGTAGTGGTTTAACCCACTGTGCCACAGCGTTGGTCCCTGTTGCAGGCATTTGAGAATGAACCAGTAGATGGAAGACTTCCTTGTGCATCACTTTTCCTTTCAAGTAGATGAAAAATAAATTTTTTCAAGAATGTTTTTAAAGCTTTTTTATTTATTTGAAAAGGTTACACAGAGAGGAAGAGAGAGAGAGAGAGAGAGAGAGAGAGAGAAAATCTTCAATCTGCTGGTTCTCTTCCCAAATGACCCCGACAGCCAGGGCTGGATCAGGCCAAAGCCAG